TACATGAAGATCAATCCTCCATAAATAATTCATAATTAGAGCTAGGTGAAATCCGTTAATCTTTCTAATTACATCATTATCCTTAAGTACCATTGATTCACTAATGGACAGTGATTCATAAAACAAATTCATGAATCGGAGCTCCTACTAGTCCAAGTACCGAATCAATCCTCAAGAGAATTATTTATCTGCTTCTTTCTCAAGAAGGAATGGATTCCATCTTGTATATTAATATTCTCGGCTACCCACTTCATCATGTCTCCAAGATACAATGAATATGATTCAAAATCTCAGAATTCGTATCAAGTAAATCAAAAGACACAAATCCATAAATAGGAGTATGCTAATAACTCAGGATTAAGATCGTTCTATAAATGACCATCAGTAAACTCAATTAGAATTTCTATACTTAACGACAATCATCAAAATTTCATATTGTGGATGTGTCCCGGTTTCACATAATATCATTATTTATAATACATTCATTCAATATCTCGCTATATTAATAGTGCGGATAACACCGTTCCATTCTAAATGGAAATGACATGTATTAGTAATGTTTCAATCAAAGATTCTAAACTTTAATTAAGTTCATTACGAACATCATTTTGATTATTATCTTCAAATATTATCCTCTTGCATATAACATTTATATACAATATTTAAGGTCACATAAATAATCATAGAATTTTCAATGATATTCATAAAATATCCAATAATATATGCACATAAAAATAATGAATAACTCTTTTATTAAATAAATAATAAATATACTATTATATCTCATGCATCTAGGACACCATTTCCAACATCAAGAACTTAGTCTTGTGTGTATCATGGCTTACATGTGGTAATATAAATATCATTATTAGAGGAGGATATTGGATGTTAGCTGTGATATCTCTCCCACAAGATAAGGTCTTGTGGTTGGATCCGCTTGAGGCGAAAGTACGTGTAGGCTTTAGAAAAATGATTACTCTATAAGTTTAGCATTCTTTATAACATTCGAACAACTAATTTATATTATTTCTTTTACTAATTAATTGATATTTTTTCATCATTCATTAGTGTTTTACGTTATTGGAAGGCCCAAACACGGCTCGAGTTTGAATGCCATGGGGATGGGTTAATGAATTTTCTCATACCCAAGGTAAGTGTTCATAATTTTGTTTATTAAATTACTCGAACTTGAGGAATACCTAAATGAAGTACTAAAATATTTTATTAATTATCAGAAAATTCCGATACAAAAAGGGCACAAAGAATGCAGGTTCTTTGTCCTATGATATATGCACGATGTAATGAAAATCGGTGTTAATGATAAAAAAAAATATAGAAGTGTATACTAATGAGTATTTGGTAGAAGTTATAAATAAATAAGCACATTTTGTAAAGGGACATATGTAATTAACTTATGTATACATTTTGATTTGAATGTATTTATTATTAATTTGTTTACATTCTGTGACTTGTGTTAATTATGTGGCCAAAATGCTGAAAAAACATGGGATTAATAGGCCAACCAATGGAAAAAATAATAAAATAACACCAATTTTTTTGGTGCATATTGCAAATATAACAGCGGTTTCATATAAAAACCATTATTATATCTCATCTTTATGACAGTTTTCTATGAAAGCATTGTCTAAAGCCCCAAAAAGGCTTGTTATGTGTATTTCGGGACAACTTTAGACGACGCTTTTCTTAGAAATTGTCGTCTAAGATATTTTAATGACGGATAAAAACTGTCGTTAAAGTCCAAAATATTTAACGAATCACAGTTAGACCACGGTTTACTAATCGTCGTCTAATCTTTTAATGACGGTTTTTAACTGTCATTAAATCAACTATTTCTACTAGTGTTAATTTATTATTAAGTTTATTAGAACTTAAAATTATAGGTATATGAGTTTCCGTGTCATCCTTGTAATATTTGTAAGACAACACGAATTATTAGAAATTAATATCACTTGAAATAAATAATGTGATTGTTTACAATTAATTTGGGAACACACTTTGGTGGGACCATAGGAGGCTATACACCTAAGCACAAGGAAGTGCAGTAGTGTCTAGCATAGGGAAGAATCTTTTTAGGATTCAGTTGATTTCTTTCTAAGTTCTCTGGTTTACTTATTTAGCAAGTTATTCAATTAAATACCAAAGGAAATTAAAGTTTGACTTTATTTGAATTTGAATTTGAGTCAAAATTCAAAACATGATAAAGGATAAAATTTCTCTTTCTTCTACACTGTGTAAGATGCCACCAATAGGGATGATTCCTTATGGGGGCTGGTTTTATAAAAAGAGAGAATTTTATTTTTAAAAATTAAATGGGAAAGTATATTTTAAATAGGATTTAAATTATAAGTAATAACCAATATTCTATTGCTTTAGCTTGAAGGTAAAGAAGAGCTCTCCTAGGACTCTTTAAATAGGAGGCAATAGAAAATTGAAGAACACAATTTTTGCTCTCCTTCCCCTTAGTGTTTAGGCACGTAACATACAGAGAGAAAAGAGAAGAAAAGTTCTTCCAATCCCGATTTCATCTCATACATGTGTTGATATTGGTGTAAGAGAAATTTAGTGAGTGATCAATTCCGGTAGTTCTAAATTATAGCCCACACTCTAGATCTTACAGGTATTAAGGATTAGACGAGAAAGATTCAGGTTTTCCTAAATAGCTTGGAACAAGGATTGTTCTATAGAGTGTTTTCAAAAGTTTTATAAAAATTTTTGTTATACATGACTCTTACCAATATGCTTCAGCCTCTGAAACCGTTTCGAAAATCAACAGTGATTAGAAAGGACTTGATAGAATAAATTTTAATATTGTACATAGTGAAAATTTTCAAAGTGGATTGAATAAAAAACCTATCCAATCATGCTCAACTCCCCTTAGAAGGGGATTCAGGTATCCTCTGCGCAATTAAAATTAAACACAACACACTATTAAATGGAACACTTTGTAAAAGATTTTAGAGACTTGTTTGCAAAGATTTATAAGTTTAGGGTCAAATTAATATTATATTTTAAAAATACTGAGGAGGCAAAATTATGCGACAAATTTTTTTAAAATTATATTTGCCCCTTAAAATTTGAAAAATTACAATTTGATCTCTCATTTTAAAGAAAAAATTTGAAAAGGCCCCTAACGTAATAAAGCAACACCAAACTTAGGATTAGATAAAACTAAAATTTAATTTTATAGTTTCCTATGTACTCCAATCTATACTAAGATTATCCTATCTAATATTCTCCTGTTATTCGCAAAAATGGGGCCCCAAAGACAATGATAAAGCCTCTTAACTTTGGGGACTTCACAAAAATACCAAGAAATGGAGACTGGGATCGACGTGTGCCATAGCAACAAAAACTATTTGAATGATTACTAGAATCCCACGAGTTTTTATTTTATTTGCTACTAATACTACCTTGATTACAAAAAAGTAAATTAAGCTCCCAAAATAGCTCAGATTAAACGAACAAACATAGACTCAAATTTTCTCCTGGTTGACGTTCTTTATAGTCTACACTATGACATAAAATATAATGGGGATAAATCCCAAATTATGCCACTGTTCCATCATATGAGGCCCACACCTTTGTGTCTTAAGGAGATGTCCCATCAGAATAAAAACAGTTTTATCATAGAATAATTATATTTACACTTTAAAAATTCATTAATACCCCACCAATTTATAATTAATGTTTATTACAATTTTACCATGTATTAAAATTACATTAAAACTCATTAATATATCCACACATTAACTATAAATGGAAATTATATTTTTAAAAGAAAACAAAGAGTATAAACCCACATTAATTATAATTAGAAAGTAATTTTCAAAGGAATTAAAAAAAAACAAAAACATATAACCGCATTTTTGGTTAAAGCTAATTTCATCTTTATAAATCCAAAAAGTTTTCCATTAAATTCTTTGACAAATGCTAAAAAGATACCGATTCACAATTTGCGCAATTATATATAGATTTCTTTCAATTTGGGTTAAGATCATACATAACTTAGTAAAAGACGTTATTGCATATGAAAATTGTGGTTTTCGAAGAGGAATGAAGAGGAGGAGGAGGAAGAGGGGGTAGGATGCAACAGTTAATAAATAAAGGTAAATTGACTTTTTTTTATGAAAGGTAAATGGAATTGCAAGATTTTTAAAAAGAAAATATAACATTAATAATTGAAAGATATTATATTATTTTATGAATTAAATTAATATTAAAATTAGGTGGAGATATGAGAGGATTAAATTAGGTATTATGAAAATTATATCTATAAAAAGAGATTTTTTAAATTTTTATTAGAGAATTATTAATTGGTGGGGTATTAATGAGTTCTTGGATGGAAATATAACTATTCTTTCCTATATTATATGGATAAGGAGTCAAATATGCAACGATATATTAAAAAAACAAAAAGGGAGAAAGAGAGAAATAGGCCAAGACTTGAGATAAATTAAAATTAATAGGTCAATAGTTTATATAAGTTAATAAATAGGCCAAATTACTGTTTTCGTCCATAATTTATTTGGTTATGAACCTTAACTTGACAAGTTATTGTCCATAAATCACGGTTTTTGTCCATAACTTATCTGGCTATGAACCATAACTTGACAAGTTTGTCCATAACTTATCTGGTTATGAACCATAACTTGACAAGTTATGGTCTATTAATTTTTATAACTAAAAATTGGCATATATAATTCCTTAAGTTTTTCATATTGGCCTATTTTCTACTATTTCTGAAACAAAAAAATAGAATTGTGTAATTACGTAAGTAACCAAAAAGTTCTATAAAATTAAAAAAAAAAATCAGAGACAACAACAACTCTGGTGTCTTTCTCCATGGCCATGAAACATCATGTAATACATAATTTTTTCCCTTCAGTTCGATAACCATTTAGTAGAGTATGCACACAAGTTTCTTTCCAATTTTTACCACATCATAAATGATATGAGAAGTCCACAAAATAAGCAAATATTCATGAATGTGGTAACCCAAAGTTGAGCCTTCTTAGCCATAGGGAGTGAAGTATCATGTAAATCATATCAAAGGGCTTTGCTGGTCGGTTGAGCATAAAATGCTTTTGCACCTTTTTGACTCTCTTTTGCATTTTCAAGTACTTGTCGTTCGAAATCTCTTGCAAAATTGTCTTGATTTGTGGTATTTTTTGGGATGAAATTTGTATGGAGAATTTACTCCAATCTAGAGCATCACTAAAGGGCAAGGTATAGTTATCAGAAATTATGACTGGGACACACCCCACATAAATTGCGGTGACCACTCTAGGACTTGCCACTTCGTACCCACTTGGGCACAAGCAAAACTTGCTTTTGCCCATCAATTTAAAGTAGTTTTGCTTCTTTTTGTCAAGGTATTCGTGGACTTGAATTTCATTGTCCTTGTCTTTCCAATGCTCAAACAAGATCTTTCTCACGTAGCCATGAGCTCCGCCTGCAAAGAAGGCGAGGATTGTACGCTTATTTGGTGACACATTTTGTGGGACCGGACCAAGCTCACCAACAGGAATGTTAATTTCCGGGATTGAAATGTCTCTTTGGGGCTTAAACCCTTCTGAAGTGTTGGCATTGCATAGAACTCTTATGAAATTCTTGAAGAGCTCAGGATTAGCATCTGAGATTTCTGGTGCCTGAGATTTTGATGTTGTGACTATTAGCAATTAGCAATTACACCAATTAATACTTGCAGTGTACAAAAACCAACAAAACAAACATTTTGGCCCTATCTTTGAGCAACATTATCTTGAGCTAGAGGAGGGATTTCCTTTTATGATGAATTCCAATTTTTTTTTTTCATATAAAAAATATTTCATAAGAAATGTATAATAAGCTCAAAAAAGTTTGTAGCTTAGCTTTGGCAAGATAACAAATCTTCCAATAGATGACTTGGAAGTTTTTGCTTTATCTTTGAGCAAATAAATACTTGGAGTTCAAAGTGTTTTTTTTTTCCCCTTCTTTTTTCTAAAGGCAACTCAATATATTGGATTGATATGAAACTTTACCCAGTTTTTTGAAGGATAAGTGCTACAAATATACGTAGAAGTTGAGGGGTAACAACTGTCCGATTAAAAAACAATTCCTTTTGTTGCATCTTTCCAAATCATTATTACATAGAATAAGTCATGCTACACCTCAATCGTTACCTCTTATGTGCGTGAACCTATAAACTTTACTTTTGGAGGATCGATATTTATAAGGATTATTATAGGAAACCTATAAACTTATCCAAAGTGAATAATATAGAATATGAAAAAAAATGGGAAAAGAAGAGAAAAATACTGACCCAATCATGACAGGAAACTAAGAAATGGTCAGCTCCACTGCTCCTATTCCAGTAGGGATATTTATCTGCTATGACGCGGATATAATCTGTGACGACTCGGTTCATCTGATCCCTCGAATAGGTCACGAGTGGACGATAGAGAACGTTGACGATTTTGGCGATGCTAACAGGGATCAAGAACACATGTGCCTCATCAGGATGGCGAGCCATGAGGTGGTTCTTCCCACTCTCCATCTCGTCTATGAATTGGCCCTTAACGCCATATATGTTGTTGACGGGCCCATCATGGAACAGTGGCTGCTCTCCTTCCTTATAGATCCACACCTTGAATCTCTTCTCCATCTCTATATGACTCCTGTTCATACTCAAATTTTAAGTATTTAAAACATTAGACCTACAGACAGAAATCCTATAATCCATATATGCAAACGTGCGTATATAAATGTTCCAATGATTAGAGCTCAGGGACTAATAGTGTCAATAATTCGAAAGAAAAAACTCAAACTACATCGTGTATATATATATATATATATATATATTATTTTTTTATTTCCTCATATTTAATGTATCAACAAGGAATCGATCGTAATTTAGCGCTCTAGTAGGTTTGCTTTGATAATCTTCTAGAAATAACAAATATTTTTCTTTCCACCAATTGATCAAGAAATAACACAAGTAAACGTACCGTATGAGCATTGAGAACATCGAGCTAAAACTTTCTTTTCAAAAAAAAAAAATTCCATTTTCTTTGAGCTTCAGCAAAAAAAAAAAAAAAAAAAAAAAAAAC